CTCTATCACTGTTAACTTTGCTTCCCCGATACTGTATCAAAATGGTTGACTTTGGTCTTTTTGTTTCTCATATCAAAACATACGGATCAAGACAACACACACGCACACACACAACAAACAAACAAACAAACAAACAAAGATCCTACCTTCCTCTGACCAGGCACGGGGTCCATATGACAAAACTCGATTCCAAAGTTGAAGAGACAGGCCTGATACCCGAGGCACTTTTGTAGTGTTGGGCATTTGGTAGTGCCCTTCTCCTCGTCTGTGGGCACGCCGTCGTCCGGTTTGATGAGCCAGTGGGCATAGGGTATGTCGAGCTTGTGGTCGGGGAATTTCTCAATGATGTCGGGTCCTGTTTGTATCAGCATAGCGATCTGTTGGGTGGTGGGAGAGAATGAGAGATATGAGAAGGAAGGAGGAAGGAGAAGGAGAGAGGAAAGGGAGATGTGGTAGAGGAGGAAGAGGAATTGAAGGGAAGTGAGGGAAAAGGGAGAATAAGAGGGGAGGAGAGAGATTAGAAGGTGAGGTGATGTGAGGGAAGGGAAAAGGAGAAAAAGATTAGAAGGAGAAGTGGAGTGATGGAGGAGGGACAGCAGCAAAAATGGAAAGGAAAAAAGAGAAGTGAAGGAGAAGAAACAAAAGGGGAAGTGAAAGGAGAAGAGGGAGGTGGGGAAAGAGGGAGCGAAGGAAGATAGAAAGTGGAAGAGATTAATGAGAGAGATCAAGAGAGGTAGAATGGGGATAAGAAAGAGAGAGATCAGGAGAGATATAGAGTGGTGGGAGGAAAATGAGAGAGAGGATAGATGGAGAATAAGGGGGAAGGCATGAGAGAAGAAGAAGAATGAGGCAGAGATTAGAAAGAGTAGTAAAGTGAAGGGGAAGAAGGAGAGAGTGGTTAGAAGGAGAGGTAGAGTGAGAGGGAAAAAAATGAGAGATTACATTTACATTATATTGCAGAGGTAGAAGGAGAAGGGAGACAAAAGGATAAAGGGGAGAAAGAAGAAAATGATAAAGAGGGAAAGAGAAGTAAAGGAGAGAAACGGAATTGAGAAAGGGAGAGATGTGAAAAGGGAAAAGGTGAGAATATATACGAATAAAGTACGAGGAAAAGAAAGAGAAAAAAATGATGGAAGCAGGAAGGAAAGAGAAAAAAGAAAAAGAAAAATACATACATTTCCCAAAAGATTAACACAATGAAAAAGACGCATACGATAGAAATACACATATCCCCCCCACCCAAAAAAAAAAAATAATTAGAAGGATGATAAAACCAAAATACAAATAATATACCCGAAATAAAGTAAAAAAAAAAAAGAAAAAAAAGAACATGATGTCGAAAGATAAAGATAACGACAGAGAAAAAGGGAAAGGGAAAGTAGGTTATCAGGGAGGGATTACTTGGACAGAGATGCATTAAGCCTATGAAAGCACTATCGTCATCACTTTCATCACCTTCGGACGAATGAGCATGAAAGTTTTTCATATTGTTTTCGTCTTAAGTGATGAGTGGATGTTTGTGTGGGGTGTGTAATTCCGTATGTTTGGATGGATGTGTTTGGTGTGGGATGTGGGTGTGGGTGTGGTGGTTGGTGTGTTGTTTTGTGTGGTTGTGGTGTGGGTGTGGTGTTTGGGTGTGTGTTTGTGTGTGTGGATGTGGGGTGTGGGGTGTGTGGTTTGTGTGTGTGTGTGGGTGGTTGGTGTGTGTGTTTAGTGTGTGTGATGTGGGTGGGGTGTGTGTTTATGTGTGTGGGTTGGTGTGTTTGTGGATGTGGGTGTGGGTGTGGGTGTGTTGTTTGTAGTGTGTGGCATTGGTGTGGGTGTGATGTTTTGTTGTTGTGGATGTGGGTGTGGGTTGCGTGTTGTGTGTGTGGATGTGGGTGTGGGTGTGTGTTTGTGTGGTGGATGTTGGGTGTGTGTTTGGTGTGTGTCGGATGAGGGTGTGGGTGTGTGTTTGTGTGTGTGGATGAGGGTGTGGGTGTTTTGTTTGTGGGTGTGGGTGTGTGTTTGTGCGTGTGGATAGGGTGTTGGGTGTGTGTTGTGGGCGTGGAATGTGGGTGTTGGATGCGTGTTTGTGTGTGTGGATGTGGGTGTGTGTTGTTTGTGTGGATGTGGATGGTGTGTGTGTGTGGATGTGTGTGGATCTGTGGTGTGTGTTGGCTGTGTGGTGTTGCGTTGTGTTTGGGTGTGGATGTGGGTTTACATGTGTGCGTGTTGTATGTGCGTGGTGCGTTGTGTCTGTGTAATGTGTGTGTTTATATGTGTGTGTGTGTTGCTGTCTGTTGTATTGTGTCGTGTGTAATTGTGTGTGTGCGGTGTGCGTGTGCGTGTGCGCGGCTTTTAAGCCTTAAAAAAAACAAAGAAAGGCAAAAACAAACCAAATACCGCCACAAAGTAGCACCTCCATCGAAAATACACCAATACGAAAATAGGATAATAGAAAAAGAAGTAAAAATGTAAATAAACAAAAGCTCGACGATCGCGTTCATAAAGAGGTAGCAAGAAAAATGAGAAGGAATTTTCATGATCACTGTAATCAACGTTAATCACTCTCATCATCTCCCCATCACTGCCGATAAAGGGTCGAAGAAGAAGTGTGATATGATAGAGACAGAAAAAAAAATAATTGGCGAGTCGATTTATAAATATTTATAAAAAAATCGAATAGGAGAGAAAGAAAGGGGAAGGAGAGAAGACGAACGAAGAGAGAGAGAGAGAGAGAGAGAGTAGAGAAGAGAGAGAGAAGGAGAGAAAGAGAGGAGAGGAGACAGAGAGAGGAGGGAGAGAGACGAGAGAGAGTATGGGAAAGAAGAGAATAAAGAGAGAGGAGAGAGGAGAACGAGAGAGAGAAAAAGAGAGAAGAGAGAGACAGAGAGAAGAGAGAGGAGAAGAGAGAGAGAAGAGGAGCACGAGAGAGAAATTTGAGCAGAGAGAGAGAGAGACGGAGAGAGAGAGAGAAGAGAGGAGAGAGAGAGGAGAGAGAGAGAGAGAGAGAGAGAGAGAGAGAGAGGAGAGAGAGAGAAAGAGAAAGCGAGAGAGGAGGAGAGAGAGAGAGAAGAAGAGAGAGAGAGAGAGAGAATGAAAAGAGAGAGAAGAGAGGAGGAGAGAGAGAGAGAGAGAGGAGAGAGAGAGAGAGAGGAGAGAGAGAGAGAAGAGCAGGAGAGGAGAGAGCAGAGAAGAGAGAGATACACAGGAGAGAGTAGAGGAGAGAAAGGAGAGAGGAGAAAGAGAGAGAGGAGGAGAGAGACGAGTAGAGAGAGAAGAGGAGCCATGGATGAGAGGAAGGGGGCAGAGGAGAGAGAGAGAGAAGAGAGAGAGAGAGAAAGAGCGAGAAGAGGGAAGAGAGATTGCACTTCGCATTTCTGGAAAGGCTTTGAAAGAAACCACCACAGGCCAGCCATAGGATACCGATATGTTGTAGTGGCCAGTTAGTGTGTGTTTAATGTACGGTAGGATTTAAAAGATAGTGAGAGAGATGAGGTAGAGAGAGAGAGAGAGAGAGAGAGAGAGAGAGAGAGAGAGAGAGAGAGAGGAGGAGAGGAGCGAGAGAAGAGAGAGAGAAGAGAGAAAGAGAGAGTAGAGAAGAGAAATAGAGTAGGAGATGGAGAATGAGAAAGAGAGGGAATATGAAAAGCAAAAAAGAGAGGTGGAAGGAGAAACAAACAGGGGAGTGAAAGAAGACAGAAAGGGTAAGGGAAAAATGGAAAGAAAGAAGCAAAGGAGAAGAGAAAGAAGAAGAAAGGCAAAGGTAAGAGAAAAATGAAAGGGAAGAAGAAAAAGGAGAGGAAGAAGAAAAAATGGAAAGGGGAAGAGTAAGAAAAGAAATAAGAAATAGGAATAACAGAGGATATCAATTCAAAAGAAAGGGGGAAATTAAGAGGACCAAGGCAGAGGACAGACAAGAGAAGAGAAGAAGAACAAAGAAGATATATAACAGAATAAGATGGGAATAGAGAGAAGAAGAGAGTGGGGGAGAAAGAAAAAGAAAGAAAATAAATCAAACCTCAGCCGTTAAAATGTCATACATAAGACCATGAAGGATGAGTGTGTCAAGGATGAATTATGCATGTCAAGTGACAATGTGACACGTGACATATGAGAGGCGACGCTTTCTGTAAATGTGAATTAAGTGGAGAAAGAGGAAGTGAAAGGCAAAGACTAATGGAGAGAAGGGAAAGAGGAAGAAGAAGATAGTGAAAAGGGGAAGGGGAAGAAAAGAAAAGAAATAAGAAACGGGAATAGCAAAGAGTGCTGGAGAAAGAGGAAGTGAAAGGCAAAGACTAATGGAGAGAAGGGAAAGAGGAAGAAGAAAGAGAAAGGGGAAGAAAAGAAATAAGAAATGGGAAGAAAAAGAAAGCAAGAGAGAGGAGAAAAAATAAATAAATGGGAATAGCAAAGAGAAGGGGAAAGGGAAAAAAGAAAAGAAATAAAAAGAAAAGGGAATAGCTAAGAGAGAGGAAAATATCAGTGCAAATGTGAATCGTGATTGGTGGAGAAAGAGGAAATGAAAGGCGAAGAATAATGGAGCGAAGGGAAAAAAAAGTTTACGTGGGTCAGAGGAACAGAAGGAGGTAGAGAGGGAGGGTGACTGGAAGAGAGAGAGACAGGGGGGAGAAGATAGTGAGTGAGGGGGAGAGAAGAAGAAGAAGAATGGAGAAGAAGAGAGAGAGGGAGAGGGGGAGAAGAGAGAGAGGGGGGGTCGACGAACAGATAGACAGACAGAAAAGGATATAGATAGAATGATTGATTGAGAGAGAGAGATACAGGAGGGAGAAGAAGATAAGAGGCGAGGGAAGAGAGAGAGAAAGAGAGAGAGAGAGAGAAGAGAGAGAGAGGAGAGAAAGAGAGAGAGAGAGAGAGAGAGAAATAGAGAGAGAGAGAGAGAGAGAGAGAGAGAGAGAGAGAGAAGAGAGAAGAGAGAGAGCAGAGAGAGAGAAGAGAAGAGGAGAGAGAGAGAGAAGAGAAGAGAGGAAAAGGAAGGAGAAAGAGAAAGAGGGAGAGAGAAAAGAAAAAAAAGAAAAGAGAAGTGAGAGAGACGGAAAAACAAGACAGACAGACACAGAAAGAGAAGCAAATCAGAATCGAATACATCATAACGAAGGGCAAATGAACAGAATCAATCCAGTGACTTGGCAGCTGGATTTACTTGTCAGATTTCGAAATCTGTAGAGGATTTGGGGAGATTAAGATCGTTGCTCTGATGTATTGGCCAAAGACAATCTTAATCAATTTATCCTTGAATTAGGAAGCGCAGATGAAGCCAGATTTTGGTATTTTATTGCTTCTTTTTTTTTTCTTTCTTTCTTTCTTTTTTTTTTCTTTATTTAAGTCTGTTCTGTAATATATGTCTGGTTATTCACCTGTTTTTATTTGCTAACTTTAGTTTCTTTTCTCGTTGCTTTAATCTAATGTTTTCTCTTCTAGCTGTCTGTTAAACTCTCTCTCTCTATCTTTCTATGTCTCTCTTTCTCTCTCTCTCTCTCTCTCCTTCTTTATTCCTTTNGGAAAGAAGGAGAAGAAACGATAAATGACAGAAATAAAAAAGAGAGAAAGGAAAATGGGAAAAAATGAAATGAGGGAAGCAAGGAAGAAGAGACACAGAGCGGAAGATGCGCGACCAAGGAGAGAAGAAGACGGGAGGACGAAGAAGACGGGAAGAGCGAAGAGAGAACAGGAAGGAAGCGAAGAGAGACGGAAGGAGCGAAGGAAGATGGAGAGGAGCGAAGGAAAGAACGGGAAGAGCAAGAAAGGACGGGAAGGACGAAGAGACGATCGCGAAGGATCCGAAAGAGACGGAAGAGCGAAGGAGACGAAGGAGCGAAGGAGAGACGGGAAGGATGCGAAGGAGAGACGGGAATGGAGCGAAGGAGAGACGGGAAGGAGTGAAGGAGAACGGAGACGAAGGAGAGACGGAAAGAGCGAAGAGAACGGAAGGATGCGAAGGAAACGGTAAGGACCGAAGGAGAGACGGGAAGAAGCGAAGGAGAGACGGGAAGGAGCGAAGAAGACCGGAAGGACAAGAAGACGGAAGGATCGAAGAGAACCAGAAGGCAGAGACGGAAGGAGCGAATGAGAGAACAGGAAAGAGACGGAAGGAGGAAGGAGAGACTGAAGACGAAAGGAGAACAGGAAGAGAACGGGAAGACGAAGGAGAAACAGGAAGGAGAGACGGAAGGAGCAGAAGGAGAACGAAGGAAGCAAGGAAGACGGAAGACAAGGAGAACGGAAGAGGCGAGGAGAGACGGAAGGACGAAGGAAGACCAGAAGACGAAGAAAGAACGGGAAGGAGCGAAGGAGAAGAGACGAAGACTGAAGAAGACGAAGGAGCGAAAGAGACGGGAAGAGCGAAGAAGAACGGGAAGGGAGCGAAGAAGACGAAGGAGCGAAAGGAGAACGGGAAAGGAGCGAAGGAAGACGGAAGGACGAAGGAAACGAAGGACGAAGGAGAGACGAAGCGCGAGCGAGAGACGAGGCGGAGGCGGGGCGAAGGGAACGAGCAAAGGAGACGGGAGGCGAGCAGACGGCGAAGGAGCGAAGAGAACGGAAGGAGGCGAAGGAAGACGGAGGACTAAGGAACGGAGGGAAGAGCGAAGGAGAGACGGGAAGACGAAGAGAGAGAGAAGAGCGAAAGGAGAGACGGGAAGGACGAAGAGACCGAGGGAAGAGGAAGAGAAGACGAGAGACCAGGGCGGAAGGACGAAGGAAGACGGAACGGAGCGAAGAAGACAAGGAGCGAAGAGAACGGAAGGAGCGAAGGAGAGACGGAAGAACGAAGAGAGACCGGAAGGAGCGAAGAGAAGACGGAAGGAGCGAAGGAGAACGGAAGGAGCGAAAGATAACGGGAAAGAGACGAAAGAGAGACGAGGAAGGAGCGAAGAGAACGGAAGGACGAAGAGCTGACGGGAAGGAGCGAAGGAAACGGAAGGAGCGAGGAGCAGACGGAGGACGACGAAGGAAGACGGAAGGAGCAAGGAGACGAGGAAAGAGCGAAGGAGAGACCGGAAGCAGCGGAAGGAGAACGGGAAGGACGAAGGAAGACGGAAAAGCAGCGAAGGAAGACGGACGGAAGGACAAGAGAACGGGAATAGAGCGAGGAGAAAGACGGAAAGAGCGAAGGAAACGGAAGACGAAGGAGAGACGGGAAAGCGAAGGAAACGATGGAAGACGGAAGAGAGACGAAGAGAGCGAAGAGAACGAAGACAAGCGAGAGACGGAAGGAGAAGGGATGAACTGGGAAGAGCGAAGAAAGACGTCAAGCAGCGAAGAGAGACGGGAAGGAGCGAAGGAGAGACGGGAAGAGCAGAAGGAGAACGAAGACGAAGAGAGAGACGGGAAAGAGCGAGACGAAGGAGCGAAGAGAGACGGAAAGCGAAGAAGAGACGGAGGAGCAAGAGACGGAAGGGAAGGAGCGAAGAAACGAAGGAGCGAGCAGAGACGGAAGAGCGAGGAGAGACGGGAAGCGACGAAGAGACGGAGGGAAGGAGCGAAGGAGAGACGGGAAGGAGCGAAGGAAGACGGAAAGCGAAGGAGAGACGGGAAGGAGCGAAGGAAGACGGAAGGAGCAAGAAGACGGAAGGAGCACAGAAGATGACGAAGAGCGAAGGACGAGACGGAAGGAGCAAGGAGAACGGGAAGGAGCGAAGGAGAACGGAAGACGAAGGAAGAGACGGGAAGGATCGAAGGAGAGACGGAAGGACGAAGAGAACGGAAGAGCCCAAGAGACGAGGAAGGACAAGGAGAGATGGAAGAGCAAGAGAACGGAAGGAGCGAAGAAACGTGAAGACAAGGAGAACGAAGAGCGAAGGAACGGAAAGAGCGAAGGAGAGACGGAAGAGCGAAAGAGAAGGAAGGAGCGAAGGAGAGACGGGAAGGAGCGAAGGAAACTGGTGGAAGAGCAAGAAGAAACGGAAGAGCGAAGGAGAACGAAGGAAGCGAAGAGAAGGGGAAGGACGAAGGAGAGACGAAGGACGAAGGAAGACGGAAGGATCGAAGAGAGACGGATTTAGGACGAAGTAGAACGGAAGAGCGAAGAAAACGGAAGGAGCGAAGGAAGAACGAAGGAGCAAGGAGAACGAAAGGACCGAAGGAGAGACGAAGAGCAAGGAGAGACGGAAGACGAAGAGAAGGATGGGAAGATTCACGTCTCAGCAATTTGTAAAAGGAACCGCCGCGATTCGCTTATTTTCCTTTATTCCTTTTTTCCCCTCTTCCCTTCTTCAAAGGCTTCCCACGACTGGAGCTCAGAGGGGAAAAAATAGAAGAGAAAAAGGAGAAATATTCCTTTTCTTCCCATTTTTTATATATTTTTTTCGATTTAATTTTTCTTTCTTTTTCGTTTTTCTCTGTTGAAATACTATTTCTTTTATATAATGTATTTTATTTTTTTTGTATTCTCTCTCTATTGTCTATTATTTTTCTTTTATGTCATTTCTTTCTTTCTTTAGCTCTCTTAAGCTAGTTCTTTAATTTCTTTTCTTCTCTCCTCTCCCTTCCCTCCCCTCTCCATCCCTCCCTCCCTCCCTCCCTTTTCCCCTCCCTGTCCTCCCCTCTCGCCCTCCCTGTCCCTCCCGTCCTCCCCTCTCCACCCTCCTCCCTCCTCTCCCTCCCTCCTCCCCTCCCCCCTCCCCCCCTCTCCCTCCCTCTCCCTCCCCTACCCTCTCTCCTCTCCCCCCTCCCCCTCCCTCCCCCCTCTTCACCCCGACCCCCTCCCTCCTCCTCCTCTCTCCCCCCTTCCCCCCTCCCTCCTCCCTTCCTTTCCCTCCCTCCCTTCCTTTCCCTCTCTCCGGCTCCCTTCCCCTCCCTCCCTCCTGCCTCCCCTCCTTCCTCTCCTCCCTCCCTCCCTCCCTCCTTCTCCTCCTACCTTCTCTCCGCTCCTCCCTCCTCTACCCTCTCCCTCTCCCTCTCTCTCCCTACCTCCCTTTCCCTCCTCCCTCATCCCTCCCTTCCCTCTCTCTCTCTCCTCCCTCCCTTCCTCCCTCCTCCCTCCCTTCCCTCCCTCTCCTCCTCCCTCTCCCCCCTCCCTCTCTCACCCCGAACCCCCTTCCTCTTTCCCTTCTCACCCCAGCTCCCTCCCCCTCCTCCCTCCCTCCCTCCCATTCCCTCTCCCCCCTCCCTTTCCTCCTCTCCCTCCCTCCCCTCCCTCCTCTCCATCCCTCCCCCCTTCCCTCCTCCCTCCTCTCTCTCCCTCCCTCCCACCTCCCTCCTTTCCCTCCTCCCTCCTCCCTTCCTCCCTCCCTCCCTCCCTCCCTCCCTTCCTCTCCCTCCCTCCCTCCCCTCCCTCCTCCTCCCTCCTCCCTCCCTCCCTCCTTTCCCCTCCCTCCCCCCTCCCTCCCTCCCTCCCTTTCCCTTTTCCCCTCCCTCCCTCCCCCCTCCTCCCTCCCCTTCCACCCTTCCCCCCTTCCCTCTCCCTCCCTCTCTCACCCTCGCCCCTTCCGGCCGCCATTAAAGGCCCGCTCAACCATTGCTCTTCTCGCGAGATAACACAAGGCAAAAAGCGATCATTCGGCCCCGCTACAACTTGACCCGGAGATAAGCTGGAATGGCGAGTTCCGCCCGTTCTCGCCGTGATTTTTATTCTTATCTTTTTTTTTGTCTTCTCTCGTCTGATGGTTTGTACCTTCCTGTTGTTGGTTTTTTTGTTCGGTTTGAATTGTTTGTTTGTGGTGTTTCTTTGTTTTGTATTCTGCCTACTCTTTTTTTCTTCCTTATTCTGTTTCTGACTCTCTCTCTCTCTCTCTCTCTCTCTCCTTCTCTTCTCTTCCTCTCTCTCTCTCTCTCTCCTCTCTCTCTCCTCTCTCTCTCTCCTCTCTCTCTCTCTCTCTCTCTACTCCCCTTCCTCTCCCTTCTTTCCTGTCTTCTTCTATCTATCTATCTTCCCTATCTTTCTTGTCTTCCCTCCCTCGTACCACCCTTCTCTCCCACCCCCCACTCCTATACCTTCCCTATACACTCCTTCTCCCTCCCCCTCTCCCTCCTTCCCCCCTCCCTCCCCCCTTCCCCC